ATAAGATATATTCCTTAGGATCAAAGCGTACTTGAGACAACACTGGAGATGTTTGAGCGAAGTGTTCAGAATTAAGCGCGGTTCCTGGTTGAGCTTAAAAGTTCTATAATGCACTCGCGATCAAATGAAAGAACTGTTTCCGATTAAAGGTTGGCCACGGATTCTAGGATTAGAAAATGGTTCTGTTAAGTTCTACTTTCCTGGCAGTGTTCAGCCTCCTCACAAAAAGGAGCTGTCTAACTATTTAATTCTCACGATTTTTCAGAGAATTCCGTGTCACGGGATTCGCTCGAGGTGGTGAGCTCTGTAGACACTCTGAGTGCTCGATTTCCAAAGTTGGAAAACATTTCAAGAGAAATAAAAATGCCGGTAGAGAAGCGGTACAACACGACTCTACCTCGAGAGAACCTAAAAGCAAATTATAAAGTAAGTGGCCTTTACTTAAAGATTATTTTGAAATGAAATCATCATCCCTTCCGATGGATAAAAGACGCCCTTAATTCGGTAGTTTACAGGCAATAATAGTGGCAATATTTTTGTTGTTATATATCCCTGAAATGCTATGTTTCAATGTGTGGACCACGCCATGTGTAAATGTGTGAACCATTTAAATTTGTTTTCTTTGCAGTTGAGGACCGTGTGCTGAATAGTTCTCTACGGTTTCCGCTTCTTTTCACCAAGACCAAAATGAGACCCTGCCAAAAAAACCAGTTATCTTTTGCGCCATGTTATTTTCTTATGTCGTTGGAGGGAGCTCATAAATAACATATATTGGGTTGACCCGCATGTATTGGATTGGCCCAGCATTTTTTTCTTACAGAACTTTTTGCATTAAAAGTCAGAATTGTCACCCATGTATTCTATGCGTGCTGATAGATAATTTCTTAATCTACTGGACAATATGGTTCCCTCTACTGTCTCTTGATTTCCGTAGGTTTTTTTCATTGAAATGCATGGGTCAACGCGAACGAGGGTTTTCGACAGCACCTTTTTGCGCTCATTCTAGGCTCAGAGCGTGTCGAAGGAATGTGTTTTCGACGGGCTAAAGTTTTTTCAAGCGGTTAGAAGAGGGAATTTGGGACCTGTGAGATTGGTGATGCATGCATGGTCGCCCTCTTGGAGAGCGGCTGCCCGCAGAACCCTTCCACCAATTTTCGAAATTTTCTCATCAACAAGGAAGATGCTCGATGATGATGATGTGGAAGTATTCCATGAGCCTACTAACTCTCCAAGTTTTTGGCATGGGTCTTCCTACAGTAACGATTGGGTAAGCCTTGAATTGCAACCGCCCAAGGAATTAGGTCTTTATGGACACGTCGCGAATGCAAAATTGACAACATTTCAGTTCCGATCTTTTTATGCACACGTCCATGAGCGTCAAAAATTGAGAACATTCAATTTTGAACATACACATTCGTGAAAGAAACAGCCTCCTCGGAGAGATACCTGATAGATGGGCTCTGGCTGTTAGCTTCTCAGTTAGACGTTATAAAAAGAGACAGTCAAAAATGCTTAATTTCTTCAGCCTAATACTCAAACTTGAACACCTAAAAATTGGTGCTAACAGAGCTTGTAAAAAGTCCGAAAGGACTGCCTTTCAGATCGAAGAATTTTCTACAAAAATGTTATAAAATTCAAAACAAAACCTCATTTTCAGCGTAATTGGTATTCTCCTGTGACTCAGAACTTTTGATTGAAAATGAGACGCCTTTTCAATGCGTGCTAAACATTAAGAGAATTCTCGGCTCTACGAGAAGGTATACAGTTTCCGTTCCGATTTGTTTTCCGTTGCTCTGTGTGAAGTGTCTAGTCGAAGAAGTTGACCAGTTTGGACACGCTAGTCTTTTTGCCTTCATTCGAGAAGATATGAACGCAGAAGTTCATTTGTGAGCTCAGTGACAAATGGTAAGAAGCAATTCACTTCAGGAAGACCCGAAGTGTTGAGCGATCCAAAGTTTTCAGTTTCTACCTGGTAGACAGGAATCCCGTCGCATGCATATCTGAGTTCAATTGGGACTTGACTGAATAAGAGTAAATATCCGCATTCACACTATCTCAATATCGCACTATCCAACCTTACCATTAGTCCTAGGAGGCATCGTCCCTCGATCATCCATATAACTTTTTTGTGCTAGGTGTGCAGTTCGAGTGCCTTGATCAAGGGCAGAAAGGTGGTGTCGGAAACCGAACATTGTTCCGATCCTACACTCGTTTTTGATGAGTTAAAGATATGATAAAAAAGTAAAGAGAAAAAAGAAAGCTGAGCAAGGGCAAAGGAAGCGTTTACCAGTGAGCATAGATAACACTGGGAAGAGAACAATTCATCGTTGGGCTTCCCCACTAGAGAGGGCGTATTTAATCGTTGAGGTGGGAGAAGGGGTCGTAATGAGTAGGGCACTAAACACTGAACAGCGCAGAGGTGCCAGTAGCACTACAAGCGAATCAACTGATCAACTATGTAGCCGCGTTGAAGGCAGCGCCCGCGTTCATTTGTTGTTTCCACGCCCTCTTTGGATATCGTAGCTCACCCTATGAGGATGTTGGACGTACTAGTTTCGCAACTCAAAAATGCGAGAGAATAGCGGCGCCCGCTCGTGAAGAGTCGGCCACCCCGCCCACCTGGCGACCACTACGCCCAACTTCATTCTAATGGTTGCCTGATGGTGCGGTTGTTCCATTGCTGCTTCTCTCCACGTCGAGTGGTGAGAGTGAGGTGATAAGGGAAAACAGCTGATACCAACAAGTGAGAACTCGTGCGGCCGCGCCTTCTCTTCGCCTTGAGCACGTACAATCTCAGCTCGGCGTGGGGTCCTATATAAGGCATATCCGATGATTTTTTTGCATTTTTCTTCACTAATGAACTACTTGCTACCTTGTTGTAATTGTCTGAGCTTCATAACTGATCAAATTGAACGCGGGCGCTGCTTTTAAGGCAGCGTTCATACTTTGCGACAGCAGCGGCGATCGCGGCGACCTCGGCGATCGCCGCGATCGTCGGTACATGGCAGAGCGCGCCCCAACGCTATTACGCTCCGAAGGCTTTTGGGAAGAAGCGACTCAATTTCATGCTTTTTTTCCTTTAACTGCAATTTTCTTAGATACTGAAGCTTGGTTTGACACAAAGAAAGGTGAACCCAACTTAATGGCTTTTGTTTTCTATTTTCTTTCTTGATTCAGGATAGAAATGAGCAAAAAGCGTGAGAGCTTCATTTAGGGTAGGTTTTTATTGTTTCTTTTTTCATTCGTCGAGCTTATACATGAGGTTATAAAGTTTTCACCTGTTGATGTTGCGTAAAATGATTAGTGTTTTGGTTCCTAGGTGAGTTTCTTTCTGTTTCTTTTTTTTCTTCGTTGTTTGAACTCGACTTGTAAACTATAAATGTTTTGGAAGTTGGAACAGTTCAGACGATAGGAACTTTTGAGGCGCTTGCATAAATTGAAACAATAAAAACAAAAGAAAGAAAAAGAAGCTCACCCAGGAAATGGAGTTGGCCTTATCCCGACCTAAAAAGAAGTGAAACCTCCTTACCTCATATTCCAGATCCGCTTATGTATAGAAAGTCGTAAGTTATCAGTTAGTAGCCATTATTAAGAGAAAAGAAGGTCTCACAAGTTGGATTCCCTTATTTATCAAGCGAGCAGTCCATAATAGCGTTGGGGCGCGCTCTGCCACGTACCGACGATCGCGGCGATCGCGGCGATCGCCGAGGTCGCCGCGATCGCCGCGATCGCCGCTGCTGTCGCAAAGTATGAACGCTGCCTAAGAAGTTGAGATAACCTCGTAAGTTCGTGGGTGACTCAACAGTTCATAGAGTTAAGAAACGTCCATAGCCTCCAAACGGACTTGAGCAAGTCCGTTTGGAGGCTATGGACGTTTCTGAGCTCTATGAACACATGTGCTCATATTTACAAACATTACGTGGAATATGCACCATCCCACTACCTCCGCGTGGGAGCCTAATGCATTGCATGGCGCATCCAGAATTGACTAATGAGCGTTGAACCTTCCATTGCCCAGTTCGCTCCACCCAATAAAATTCCCAAAGCATTTATCTCATAAACCCGGGGCCGTTCCAAAACTGTTTAGAGCAGCTGCGTTCGGAGAAATTTGCAATCGTTCAAACCAGAAAACTTCGCATCCAGTTCTGGGAATCCCCGAAAATTCCCTCTATGCTGAATACTTCTCTGAAGTAGAGGTCATCAGTGGTTTTCGAAAGCTCAAGTCTCTGATTCTTTGCATTCGCGTTTTTCTTTTCCCCAGCAGTATATCCTCAAGAAAGTCATAATCGCGGCAAGTGTGCTCCATCGCAATGAGAAGACAGTGGCACGCTTATTCAGAAGTCAAATGGCTCAGCACTTGAACTATTTTCCCGTCCGCCCGAGTGTGAACATAGCAGTATGTGAAACTCACTTCCAATCTCTACCGATTTTACCTATTAGAGTGTCTGAAGAAGTGTTGAGAATTCCTCAACACTAAAGCTGGCACGCGATGAAGCTTTTCAAAATGGCAACAAGACCCCTTCGACTTCCATGAAGCCAGAAATGGTGGGGCAAACAGCAGGCGTAGTGGAAGCTTGGTAGGCAACGGAATCCTTTTCATGTTACCTTTCGTCTACGGTGAGGTGAGCACCTCTGTCGAGAGGTAGCTAAAGAGGTCGGCTTTAACATAGTAGCCACCGTGAATGTACCACCCAATAACTTAGAGGCGCGTTCCGCGATAAACTAAAGCTATGACATTCCAAGTGTGTGATGATCCGGCAGGCGATTGTAGAGGCTGTGCTACATTCAAAAATTGGAAATTTGCAAGTTCCGGTGGAAGCTGAACAGTGAGGCCCTCCCCTTAGGCTCATAGCAAAAACCAGTGGTGTTACCTACGGGCTGGTAGCTGCTACACTAGCTCTCTCCATTTTGAATGGTGAGAATGAGGTGATATGGGAATGAGCTGATATCGCAAAGATAGCAACGAGTGGAAACCCGCACAAACATGCCTCATCTCCACTGTACGCATGTACGAGTTGTGATAGCCATGGAGTCTTATATGGGGCACACCAAGCATTCTTCTTTTGCTTTTTCCCCTCAATTATTCCTTAGCACTTTGTCGTCAGTATTGGAGCCCCGTTATTCACCAACTGTTTTCGTGGGCTTTGCTTTCAAAGCTTCTCTAGGTGCGGTCATGCGACCGTCTTTGCGCAATGCTTAAAGGCAGTTGGCACGATAAATCCCCAAGACGAGTAGGATTAATACGCCTGGCAGGACGGAATTCCGCGACCCTGAGCAGGCGCTGCATAATGCCTTTTCCAAGGGAGGTGCCCTTATAAGGGCCCTATCAAGCCACAACATTCCGACCCAAACGCCCGCCCGCCCGCCCACAAATGGACGACCGTTCCTGACGCTCTAATCGATTCATTTGCTAAGCAAATTATGAAGCGAAGGGATTGGTATGAAGCGGCCGTGATGCTGCATGGATATATGAGTACACATATGCAGCCGTACCTTCGGTAGCGGTTATTGGCAAGATGCCTACAGGAAACTCGTCCAAAATTGATTTCTAACACATTGAGAACGGAGGCTCTTTCTTCGCAGGATTTTGACCGTTTCACTCCGTTCTTTCGCCATTTCCCCACTATATAGCGCCCTACTAGCATTTTAGGCCGAGCACCAAATCATCGTGCCAACTGCCTTTGACTGCGTGATCTGCCTGACCGGTGAAGAGGTAGACTCTACTATGTCGGGGATGGCCCAGCACCACAAGATCACTTGTCGAAGGGACAAGAATAGGGCTTGGGTGTCAACTGCCTTGGAAGCCGATTAAGTGCGAATTCACAACAGAGAAGATTTCGGGATAGCGGTTCAGCTTGGCGCGAGAGACAGAAATGTGCGCGCGAAAAACTCTCGAGGCATTTGGATCAAGGTCAAGATGAACCACAGGTGGGTGCCTCATTAGCACACGGTAAATGAGACCTTATCTCTTTTTTACGAGGGACCGAATGAATGATGAACAGTCCGACTTGGTTCAACAGCCAGCTTTATACTGGTCTCAAGGAGTGTACTGGATTATGGTACGTAGCCTTCCTCCTTCCTCTCTTGGATGGTGACCTGTTTTGGTGACGAACTTCAGTAAGGCAGCAGAGACATCTGGGTATCACAAGTCCCTCGATCTTTTGAGACTGTGATAAATACTGCTCGAACCTAATGAAAACGTATGAATGATCATATGTAAGGCGCCATCAGTTGATGGACCAACCCTTACCTAATGAGCACTGATTTATTTGGTTCTCGCGATCAGAAACATGTGTACATGTTTCAGAATTATGAAGTTGCGCGCTCCTAGGTGGGTGACCCCTAGTCATTTGATGTCTAGCACCAATTGAGTCACGGCTCAGTCTTGATTTTACCGCTTAAGAGATCCTTCCCGTTGCAAAGTTGTACCAGCTCTTGATATTTATGAGCTCTCTCTCAAGTCAAAAACTCGTGCCTTTTCCTGATGCATTCTTGTCTGGAAAAAAATTGTTCTCACTCGCAAAACTCTTGACTTACAAATAGCTGTTCACTCAACTGAACACTAGCATGATTCTGGAGAAGTTCAAGACCTCACAACCCCACCGCAGACGTCGTTCACTCACTTCATTGCAAGCACATCATTTCTTATGCGCAAATTCTAAACGTTTTGGAAGGTCTGCGGAAATAAACGACGTAAAAAAGAGGTGATGATAATCAATGATAAAATACAAAACAAGAGATCATTAAAGGGTGTAGAAGGTTAAGGGCGGACATATTGAGACATACCGACATAATGAAAAAAAATGAAAGGTAGGAGGAAAGCGCATGTGCCAGCACTCAATTATTTATTGCGGAGCACGCTTTGTGCCGTGGTATCAGAGCGTGTTATTTTTCGGAGTGAATTCAGTTCCAAGCCAAGCAGTCTGGAAGTACCCTTTGCTTGAACCCCCACAACTTCTTTGAGAGTGGAGGTTCCGAAAAAAGAAGAACATTGCTGTGAAGCAGTACTTATTAATTGAGTTTGAGCGAGAAAGGAACTTCTCCTCGAAGGATCGTTCCCGACTGTGATTTTTTAAAATATTTCAGTGCCACCCACAAGTTTTTATTTTGAACAGCTAGAACTCCCTTTATGTGTGAACTTTTGTGAAATCAGGAAATTCCTAGGAAGCTTTTTACTTTTTCTCAATGCCTACTATCCGCAATAATTCCTCGTTGTGATTTTGTTGTGACACTTCTCGGGCAACACGAAAAACCTACCCCTCCATCACAACACTACTTCCACTTCATTTATAATCTTCGCCATGCTTCTAGAACGCAGATATTCGCCGAGATTATCAAAAAGTAGTTCATTCGGCGTCCACGAAACTTTTACAAACGCCCATACTTCTTGGCTACTTTGCAACTTAAGGGCATAGGTAAGAAGCGGCTGAAAGTAACAGTGCGTGGAAGGAAAATGAAAAACAACCTTCGTATCGTTTGAGGTGGCAAGAGAAACCTTGCAGTCTGTGATTACTTACTCCCATGACATGGTCGGAGCCCCCCCCCCTTGTCTAGATTCAAGTGCGCGTGAAACGTGCTGTTAGCCGTACCAAGCGAGTCAATGTGGTGATGCGTACATCACGCGTGCATTGCCAATATAACGTCGCGATTTAAAGTATTACGAATTTGGGACACCAAACAACACGGTAGCAGCGGTCCATTGGATCGCAAATTTGTCATTGTTTTTTGGGATAAACACGACTTCATATTTCTATAATATTTGTATTCGATAGCTGTTTCAGAAGGAGGAAAAAAAGCTGCCATTTAGCTTCCAGAAACGGAAAGAAACTTCCCATGTGGACTGTGGACGTATTCTCGCCGGCGACATAGTAAGTGCCTACAGTGGCTAAGTTTTTCAGTGTTCAGTGCTCCAACTCCTTGAATTCTCGCCTTCGCGTGAATTCTTTGTTGGTGGTCTTTCTTACTTCGTCAGGGCATCGCTTAAGCCTTGCGATAACTGCGGGGCTCAGTACAGTTTTCGTCACGAGTTACGGAGAAAATTTGTAATTTTGGCACTTTTTTTCCGCTTTCCGAAGATCGGAGCTCACTGATAGATGTGAGTCAGCGTCTCAAAAGAGATCAAGGTCACAAATCAACATGGAGGACCGAACGACCATGCAAACCCCTTTCTGTTCTGCGCTCCTATTTAATGAAAATGTGGCAAGCTAACCCATTTCAGGAATATACGACACTAATAGCAACAAAACGGCCGGTGCTAGTCGCAGGGCAGATGAATACATCATGCGAGCAGATCAGAAAACGTGTCATGCCACCAATACCAATGGATAGATTAGCGTTTGGTGTCGCTTATGTGCGTGTAGTGTACAAGGTAAGCCGATTCCTCATGTATGCGACCCACAAAGAAGAGGGAGCATGGATAATGAAGTTGTGAGGGGGCAGGGTCCCTTTGAAGGCTAAACTACAGCTTCCCAAGGAAACCTGCTCAATTCTGAACCACTGCCAAGCGGAAAAAAATGTGACTTGTCACAAATTCGGGCAAGATAATCTGATTTGTGCAACATTTGAGTAGTATTATTCGTAGGTGTCAGGAATGGATATTTGCTGATAAGATTTGATAGGGGGCGTTAAAAGGGGATAGTCGCCATATTCATCAGGTGGGTGCTGTTTCCATATGATAGAGCATCTGTCAGGAGCATTATTGGTGGGTGACAAGAACTGCAAGCTTGCAAGCTGCTGGTAAGATTCCGTGAAGGGCGTTAGAAGGGTGAATCCACAGCGCGTACCACAGCATCAGCGAGGCAATGGACTCAGCAATTAATGTGTGTAGAGGCTGAGGTGGGATCATCAATAGTGAGTGACGGGGGAAAAGGGACGCTGCACTCGTCGTTGCTGCTTAAGGTGGTGGAGCATTAACGCTACCAACTTACAAAGATTCAATAGGTACATTGATGGCGGGTGACAGGTGATCAAGTCTATCGACAGGAATAGATAAGAGGCCATCCTCACTACGTTTCTTATCACTCTTACTACTTTAGTATGCCAAGTAATTAGATGCTTAGTTGTGCGACTCTTTCCTTCGATGTGAGAGAATCGAAAGAATTAGAACCAACTACTGGACTTCCTACTATTACATGGATTTAATGATGGCAAGCGGAGGGGGGGGGAGAGGGGGTGGAGCGAGGGGAGGAAAAAATTATGAGAATGCTATTCACTGTGTGATGTATTATTACGTGCTGTCGGTGATAACATGCGGGCTCTCCTCGCGATGCACTTTTTGACGTATATGAAGCAATGTGTAGTTTTTCTTTCCCGTGAAGCCCATGACTCAACAGCTCAGCCTATTCCCAGGGTGTCAAGTGTCGTGTATGTTACATGCGGACTAATTAAACTCTAACCTGTTCTGGTGTGTCCCAACTGCATTCATTAATCATATGATGTGGCTTTCTAACGGTTTAAAGTCAATAATTGACGGAGGAACAAGACAAAGAAGATGGTGGCCGGTGTTGACCTATTTTCAACTCATTTTTCTACATTTTAGCTAAGAATGCCGCGTAACCACCCGGCCCTTACACATCTTACGCACTTTTCCTCACCTGGCGGAGCCGGGCCGTGACCCAGAAAGAGGAGCGCCCGGCAGTAGCTGGGCAAACCGTCCTTTTTATCAAGAACAGCCTCCAGCCAAATGGTGCTTTTCTTTTCTCTAGGGCTAACCTGAACAAGAACGTTGTTGTTCATAAGAAAAATATGCTTCTTCAACATTGCGAGGATTTCTCACAAGTAAACCCCTTTTCAGTGTGCTCGACATGTTTCCGTTATTTGGGTGTCTAAAAGTTGATTCCTCGAATCTTCGACCGCTCTTTCATGATAATGTCATTAGTATGCCAGTATCTTTCCTGAGAACACTCGGGGGTATGCTTGTTGAAGCTGACTTAACCGCCTGATGAGGCCTTATTTCGAACGTTTCAGCCGCTTCCTCCTTTTTTTGCTTTGATGTCGCACAGTTTACTATTAGGTTGTCCGGAAAGTTCTGCATGTTTTGTGTTACTATTTTTTGCACATTCATTGCTGATTAAAAACTCATTCTCCCTTGCGTCTCAGTAGTACATCCTGAAGAGAATTCTTTGCGCTATCTGATGGTATAACTGCCGTTTCACCATTGCTTGATGAACCCCTTTTTTAAGATTTTTTCAAGCATGTGAAAAGAGCACTTCGGACGATTTTTTTCTTCGACTATAAATTGGGCAATCCGCAATCGAAACAGCTCAACAAATTAACCAGGTGTGGGGGCCCAATAGTGCTAGAGAAAGCACTGTGCGGCAATGGTTCAACAAATTTCGTTCTGGAGATTTCAGCCTTGAAGATGAACCTCATAGCGGTCGACCTAAAGCAATATCTGACGAGGATTTTAAGGGATTTTGGAGGCTGACCCATCCCAAACAGTTCGAGAGATTGCAGAAAAGCTAGGCGTTGGCAAATCCACTGTTGCAGATGGTCTGGAACGCATTGGGAAGGTGAAAAAACTCGACAATTGGGTGCCCCACAATCGGAGTGACCGGCAGGAATCGGCACGTCTCGAGGTTCCTTCTGCATTGCTTTTGCGCAGCAGAAACGACCTGTTTTTGGGCCGAATTGTCACCTGTGATGAAAAATGGGTCATGTATGATAACAGGAGACGTTCCGGACAGTGGTTGGATTTCGACGAACCACCGAGGTAATTTTCAAAGCCGAACCCTCACGAAAAAAAGATTCTGGTCACGGCTTGGTGGTCATCGGCTGGTGTGATCCACTATAACTTTTTATCACCAGGCCAAACCATCACAGCAGAACCCTACTGTGAAGGAATCGACGAAATGTACCGAAAATTTTGTCAGCTGCAGCCAACACTTATCAAAAGAAAGGGTCCGATTCTTTTGCATGACAACGCCCGCCACATTTCACAAATCACTATCCATAAATTGAACGAATTGGGGTTGAAGTTCTACCTCACCCACCATATTCTCCAGACCTTTCACCAACCGACTATCACCTTTTCAAACATTTTCAGAACTTCCTTGCTGAAAAATACTTCATCAATTAGGACCAGGCAAAAAAGACCTTCGTAGATTTCGTGGATTCTCGACCACCCAGTTTTTTCTTTAATGGGATTTCTCGACTGCTGTCACATTGGCAAAAGTGTGCTGATTCGAATGGTGCCTATTTCGATTAAATCCGATGAGTATTAAAAAGTTATGATCGTTTAAAGTTAAACACTCAAAACCTGCAGAACTTTCCGCACAACCTAATAACTTGAATTATTGTAAGCGTTTCTGAGAGACATAGCCTCTTGGCCCTATACTTAGCAACCAGGACTTACGCTGTTAACTTTTTAATTAGATGTGAGAGGGAGAGATCATAGAAAATGCTCCATTTCGTCGATCTCACACTGCCACTTAGATATTTATTGGAAGGAAAGTTTTAGAGGAACTAAGAGAGCTTGTCGTGACCGGGTGGAAGATAGGTGCAGTGCCTCGGCGGTTAACCTACCCGACTACGCAGAACGTGGGTATTGGAAAGGCCCACACCCTTTGAGGGGTTGTGTCGCGCGTTTAGAATGCTCAGCGAGGGGCAGATACCTGCCGGCCCGTATTCGGCCTAACCCCTCTTTATGACTACGGTATGTGTACTACGATTATAAAGGCGATGCCTAATAAATATATGACCGATAGTTATTGGTTATTGCTACATGACAGAAGACTATTGACTAAATATTCATGTTAACTATAATTAATATGGAACAGGATAAACCATGTGAGTAACTATTACATGATTACGATGTAGAGGAGAACAATATAGAAAAGGTTAAGGCGTGGATAGCAACAACACAACATACCGGTGATGGATATGCGACGTGGTAATAAGCCGGTCCATTCGGCCGGAATGAGACGAAGAAGTTGGATAAGAGCTCAGGGTGACAATGAGCTCTGGCCACGACTGACTTTGACGACAGCAGACTGACGACTGACTATTGCCGGAGGTGCGGGGGCTGGGCATAGATAAGCAGAGAGCTTCCCACGCTTCCAGCTTCTTCCATCCTTTGAGCCGGCGATTGCATCGTTTTAATAGACGGCTACAGTAGGATGACGAATGGAGCATGATATTGAAAGGCGCATACCACAGACGCTTCCAGGTCGTACGCAAGTCACAGCAGAGCTATCGTAGGCGTGGAGCTCTCTGCAAAACAGTATAAAATTCAATGGGAAAATTTTTTCATCTTTCACTGCGATATTTCGAGTGAGAAAAACACGCCATTATTTATGGGCCGACCCAATATCGAGCTGGCGGAAAAGGTCATCCATATTTTTTCTAAATTAGGTTTTCTTTTTGTGGAGAGGCGTATCAGATCAAACATATGCCGCATTGCCTGCGGTGTTCTTGCCAGTTTTTGAGCACCTCATGGATGCCTTCACTTCACAATGCGGCGCGACTCAAAATTCGACATAGTCTCGATATTGGGTTGGATTATGTCGTGAAGGAGCTCTTCGTCCATATAGCAGGAAGGTACAGAAGCCAACTAGCAGTTGGAAGGAACAGTTTCTGGTTTACTCCGTTGCAAAGGGAGAGCTATCCTGATCTATTGCATGAGGTTCTGCTCTATCTTTTTAAGAGGGTGTGGGCTGCACTGTCATGTTGAAGACAGACTGCGCAAACAAATTTACCCTCACACCCGACGATTCGCTTCAGATGTCGCAGCTGATTTGTATAGGAATCGGCCGTAAATGCAGCTTCTCTCACCCAATTCACGAGCAAGCAGCAGCTCTCTCGAGCTGAGTCCACATGGACGTAAAGACGCACAGCATTAGTTGCGGATTTCGGTCAAACCCGTTTTTTGGGAGTTCATACGACCCTCCCTTTTTTTCTACTGTTTCTTTCTTTTCGAGCTCGAAGCTAGGCACTAGAGCTGTATGGCCTCTAGGTGGTAAAGGCATAAAGTGGTTCCAATTAAAGTTTCGAGGAGTTACCTACCAACTTTTGTGAAACAATGAATACGAGGATGTGAAGTAGCGAATGTGCTGATCCCCCCCCCACCCTACAAAGCCTAAGGCCATGAAGCAATGCGGAATCCGAGGAAATGATGGAAGGCGTAATATACACATCAATTTGAAGAAATGCAGAAATGCGGAAAATGCAGAAATGACGAAAAGCATTACAATTTCCAATTTTTCAGCAATTCGCCATTTCTGCATTTTCCGCATTTCTGCATTTCTTCACCGTCGCAAGCTATGAACGCGGCCTAAATGATGTAGCATAACATAACGCAACCGAAAGCAGAAATAGCATAACATAACAGAAAAACAGACAGCATAAAAAAAAAAGAAAAGAAATGGAGCTATACCAGCCGATCAGCTGGAAAATGGTGAGGAATCGATTGGAAGGGATTCTGGGCAGGACCAGCCGTGCAAGGTGGTTGGATTGGAGGGCGAGTTTCCAGGAAAACAGAGTGTCTTTGAAGGGCCATAACATCCTCAAAACGGACCTGTGGGAAAGACGAGACAGCGGTCGTGTAGAGGAAGGTTCGAGCTTCCTAAAATTACTGAAATGTTTATGAAGGTCGCCAAATTCATAGAGAAATTCAGCGTTGGGATTTTGGGGAGCGCACTTTTTGGATAGTTTGCAGTGCAAACTGTACAGGTTTGAACCAAGATATTTCCCTTGATCCTCAATAGTTTGGAAATCTGAAACCAGTATCAAGTTTCAAGATTCTCGCTTTCCAAAACCACTTGAACTGTTTCTGAAGTTTCCGGGATTCAAGAGATAATTGCGTCGGGGATTTTTTGAGTAATACTCCGAACGGTTCGAAAGTCCGTTTTCTGTGTACGGTTTCAAGCGAGCGTGTTCGAATAACCAGAAATACATGTAGAACGTATCCTGTGGTGGAGCAGGAGCAGGATGTGGTTTGTTTAGCGCCAATCATGCTAACTTTGGATGCGCCGCGCATTGAGGTCCGCGCAGAGTGATGGGATGGTGCAATTTGAGCGTAATGTCTGTCCACGCGAGCAAATGTGTCTATAGGATTCAGGGAGGTCCATGGCGAACCTGTGCACTTGTTTACAGTGTTTTCCGTTGCGTATGATGGAGCGTGTCCCTGTCGACGCCGCCAGATTCGTGCTCCGCCAATTGCTGATTCCGATAAAGGAGACCAACTGCTGGAAAACGTCTGATACGAACGATAAACACGTGGCTCAGCGCCACCTGTTTATCGTTCGTATCAGACGTTGGCCAAGCGCGATCGCGGACACACTCCCATCATCCGCAGCGAACCAGAGTATGAGTTGTACTGTTTAGTCACTTACGAGATGATGTCGACTTATTAATATTTCCAGTTATTTCGGATTAGTTTGATGAATGAAAGTGTTCTATTTTTTACAGATCCGAGTTCTCTACAAAGCAAGCTTCGCTGTACAGGACTCAGCACATTAACGCCTTTGCGCTGCTCGTCACTGGCAACAGCACTCACTACGACCCCCCCCCTCTCCTGGCGGCCAAATACGACCCCCTGTTGGGGATTCCCCAACCAACGATGTGCCCTGTAAAGGCTTCATCTTCGTAACTGTAGGTTTGCACTTCGAAGCAGTAGCATAGTGGGAGGTTATCGGATAACTGGCGGCATCGTTCTCATGCAGTCCTCTTCGTTTTAGCATCGGCAGCTATCAACTTGCCTCAGGGTGGCAGAAGAAATAGTTCGAAGGAGCATTTTGAGGGTGGTACGATAGCATCGATTTCAATTCTTGTCCGTATTGTAAAAGATTAAGGAGTAGGAGTGCGAGTGGTATTTTAAGAGGAGTATCCTTTGGTGAATATGCAGTTTATTGATCATCCTTCCTCAGGTAATGGGCAAGTATTTAGAGTTTAGAATTCATGAGAGAACTTTGCCAAGCTAATAATATGGTTCCCACTTGTTTTCGGGAGCTTTTTGTTAACCCTGTGAGTACCCAATTGTCCCTGGTTCACCTAGGACGGTTCAGCCAGATGACACTAGTGTCATTTTTCAAGTGTGATAAAGTTTGCCTGTAGTCTGGCGAGTAGTAGGAATAGGCTATCTTGTCTCGGTTAGCATTGTAGAACAAACATATTACAGGATTATGCACTGATCGAGGAAGAACTTCGATCTAGTTACCATCCACAAAACTTCTTTTGTTATTCTATTGACCAGAAAGCTGGTAAGGTATTTCATAGTAAAATTAAGAAACTCGATGCCTGCTTCTCCAACGTCCTCATAACACCAGGTATCGTTTCCTTTCGAATATTTCATTACATCTATTTTGCTGCCATTTAGTCACCTTATTGGAAGATTCAGTTAGATTTATCCGTCAAAAGTCCTCAAATTTTTCTCTGAGAGGTAAAAATGGAGTTAAATGGTTGAAAGCCTACAAAAAAGCTTTGCTGTTCACTTTGATGAGTACTTTTGGGCGGTATATGAGTTTATAGTGCAGCCGTATCCATCAAGGCAGTGCTGGCATAGTGCCTATATAGGAATGCGTGACGTACATGAATACATACGCGAGATGCGGCTGCACTGAGATTTCATACATCCAAAAAGCAATACTTCATATAAAGACACATGGTACGCTCAAACACTTTGAGGGTGTATGAGACTATCAGCCCCCAGCTGTCGATGTGTCGTGGTCCCCCCGCCCAAAACTGCACGGGGTCAGAGTACGGGGCCGTGGGAAAGTCGTGGTTCCTTGCTACACCGCCCGTTTCGCAAACTCACGTTTTTACTACTACCAATTTGTCCCGTCTACCAGAACTGGAAGGCTCTTTTCTCTCGAGAGTTCAATTTTGGCGCCGTGTTTTTACAGTAGATGCTATTAGTATTGATTGGTGGTTCGACCCGTGGCACTGTATGGATCCGAATGCTGGCCAGCAACCAAAAGTGCCGAGCGCCAACTCCACGCCATGGAGATGCGAATGCTGCGACTGTCAATGGGCATTTCACGCCTCGATAGAATCAGTAATGATGTGATTAGATGCCAGATGGGTGTCGCACCAATCGCCAAGAAAATGCAGAGAAACGACTCCAGTGGTATGGCCACGTTTTGCGAGCTGATACCGTCGCTTCTATTGCATATCGATTTGAAGTAGACGGTCACCGGCCGAGAGGAAGACCAAAACAACGCTGGCAGGACACCATAAATGCGGACTTGAGAATGGTCAACCTCTCTAAAGAAGATGCACTAGATCGAGCAAAGTGGCGACTTTCGATCCGAAAAACGGACCCTGCACAAGCGGGACAACGTTAGGAAGAAGAAGAAGATATTAGTATTGATTGAAGCAAAAGTGATTTGAAGCATTACTATGTTCTGCTGGATTCTCGACAAAACTCCAGTAGACTAGGTTATTTCGGCTCGAATCTAGTATGCTTTGACAACTCGGCCGGATCTGTTTCTTTTTTGTGACTGTTTCGTCTTTCTAAAAACTAGACAGTAAGTCTCTTCTTGCCAGCACTCCGAATAAATAATATGACAGAGAAACAGTCTGATCAAATATAATTTTTGAACGGTGTGAAAAACACATTGTGACTTTATCTTTTGTTTGACGGCTGTGACCGTTTTTATGGACACGAAATCAATTTCTCAAGTGTTTCCAAAGCGTATTTTTGTAATCTCTCTCCGCATGCTCCACCAAAGCTATTCTGTGAGTCGAGTCTTCGGAAGATTCTTATGTATCACTTTTAACTTTTATACCGGAGAGTAGATTTGCCTCCCATTCGCTGATATTCGATTTAAACTATCGCTCATAACAAAAGATGTTTTTGAGAAACACCATGAATATGGTGCAGCGACAGCTACCAAAAATATCAAAAACATGAGTAACTAGGCTACATACGTTTGCAATCGCCAAAACACTTTTTCGCGCGTTAACTTTTTTTCCGGAGAGAAATATTGTATAAGGTTGAAAAGAAAATCTCCTCACTGTTGCGTATTTTTTTTCTTTGTTATTTTTTAGCTCAACATAGAATAGAAATTATTCAACAATATTTGCAGCCAATATTAGCCACTACAGTGCTCCATCTAATGGGTAGGTCAGCGATACCCTCCTCCTAGAAATGGGAAGGCTGCGAGTCATACAAGTCGGCGACTTCTCGCTCGGTGTCATCAGACTTGCTGACACATTTCGTAGCTAAGAAAGCTTTAAGGGAGCGGAGCAGGTGGCAGTCTTAGAAGTTTAGGTCAGGAGAATGCAGTGAGCAGGTCACGATCTCCCAGCCTTCCTCCTCAACTATTCGGTAGGTCTCCATAGCAGTATGGGGTCTCGCGTCATCATGAACTAGGTGCCCCGAAGCTAGCGGTTATGCATCACATCCCTAAAGAAGCGCAGAAGAACCTCCTTGGAGTGCATGCCCGCTTTGGCCTGCTAATATGGGTCTTCTGCCTGAGAGAGTCACACCGTGTGGATTGTAATCATGGAGAACCCATCTCTCATCTCCATTGACCAATCTCCCAGGAAGTATTTTGATGAGAGTGGAGAAGGGAAGACTGACAAATGGGCATGTTGAGGTTTTGAGCAGCTGACGTCACCACAGTGCCGCTCTGCCAGTCATAGAAGATGATGACTCGAAGCTGCTCCTGTGAAATTGACATCGCAATTAAGCCCAGGGAAGCGCATTTACACATCACTTATGGGAAAGCTTCAGGAAGATTCTACAAGCATAGCGTGTTACCTGATGTTCGGGCATCAAGAATCAAAAACTGTAAGTAATAAAAAAACACTGGCAGGACTTTTTTAGCCTAACATTTAATGTTGATATTATTAGGTCATCCCATTAAGAAATGTGGAAAGTTTCATTTATATAAAACGAGGAAGAAAACAGGTGGAAAGTAATTTTTTTCTTCAAGTTAACTAGAACCGTCTCACATAAAAGACCCAGTGCCCCGAAAGCGTTTGGATCCTCTGGTACCTTCGGTTTTTCAACAAGTGCGAGTAATTGCTGTTGCTGCCAATTTCGGCGAATGACAAAACATTGTAGCGTTTGCCGTCGGAGAGTACTCTCGACTGACCAGAACAGTTGAAACTCCACGGCTTTATGCTGGGCGAATGAGGCGATTGAATCTCGATTTCAGTATTCTAGCTATCCTAGTTATTTGTGTCCCAGCACTGCCCTATAGTGCCACTCACTAGGGGTCTGGCAGTACCATCCATTTGTAGACTTGGCTATCCAGGAACAGGCAATATACACCGACAGCGACGATTTTGTTCTCTCCATGGAGCCGCTTGAAAACCAGGCATAGAGGCACTGCATTCGTGCTTCTACGAGAAATTCAGAACTCATATGCACATCCCCTTGATGCCAAATCTCACAGATATATAGCTAAAGGTACTACAATACCGCTCCTAATTCTGGTCAATCGACGGTTTGCGACAGATTTATTTTCCGTCGGCACAACCTCGTTTTCGCCCATAAACTTCCGTAAAAGAGGTTCAAATGATCTGAAATTTAGATCATCCGATAGCCCTGTACAAGGCGAATCCAACGATGTATGGAGCTTCCACTTTCCTTCAATTTTTTGACGTTTTTCCCAAGGAAATTGACGTTTGAGTCTCCAATGACCCAAGGTGTTACCTGCAGACACGGCTGCGTCGTAAACCCTCCAGTCCAATTTTGAATTTCAAACCAATTACCCTAAAGCCGTAAACACCAGCATATTCAGAAAGAGCATGATTCCGTGATCATTTTGATACTTTTCATGACAGGGTTTCAGCAAGGTTCAGCTGAAAATCATGGTTCACTGACCACTCTTTCCTTGATTTCCGGTTTGAATCGGCTTGAGGAACAGTATCTGATTCATAGCCAAGGCCAACGATCTTCGATTCAACCGGAAGCTCACTTGGCTCCTTAAAATATGACGAATAGCTTGGAAGTACAATACCCGCTGGAACTGTTCGAAAAAAAATATCCGCGTTTTTTCCGTTCTTTTTTTTTTGCTATAACTATTCTCATATAGAAACCTATACTGTTAGACTCAACTCGTCGAGTTCAATAATATGGCGTCCTAAAAAAATTTTTTTTATTTCATGACTCTTTCCAACTTTGGACGTAGATTTTTCTAAAATCTAGCAAAGTGGCGGCGAAATGGTCCGAGGGTTGTGGACTCGGTTCAGTGCTACATGGACGCCTCGTTGTATGCTCCGCTACAAGCAAACGACCCTTCCGCAATATGGCCCTCAACATCGATTTCTGGCCTCCTCCTATGTGACCATCATATTTATTCCATTTTTGAGTTGACACGTAATCACAGCACATTGAGTGAGCACAAAGGCAAGCGAGATTTGTAATTAGTAACTGCTGTAGTACCATATAATCGGAAGCGCACCGCTTCAGAGTCCCTCCTTTGCTTGCTGTGGTGCGATAAACCTTATAAATCGCTACACTAGGAATATGGAAATTGGTCGAATTCATGGAAGACTGTTGAAACCTACACAGTTGGATTCTTCTAGAAAAATACTATACAACTATATAAAAATCATGCCATTCTGACGAAGTCGGCTTCTTCATCTTCAAGCTCCTATTCTTTTCACTGGTGAGAATGATTCGTCTCTCGTTGACTCCTGCTCTGAACGTGGATTGGAAGAATCATTTAGGGGAAATCATACCGTTTGAATTAGTTCAACGTGTTCCACATGATTTCATTTTCAAATCAATGAAATTTCTACATATGGGTACTCGTGCCTGCTAAGGTACCCAGGGCAACCCAATTAGCAAGCGTCGCTCGACATAATTATAACCGGAGGAGAAGAGTTCCCTTTGAAGGCGCTTACCATTAGCGTATTATGATGCTGCTATGTTCTACTGGATAACATTTTATAATGCTTCTACGTTGTACTAGGAAGTTCTTCGAGAAGTTTGTCTCTTCCCAATGGTCCCAGTCACTTCCAGCCCGCTTTTCCATACATATCGTTGGACGACCGCAGCCTAGCAAATCTTTGAAATATTCTGTCCAACAGCACTTCAGGCTAAAAGGTAACGTTTCAAAGTCCTTCCAAAGGTTTTGTTCAAATGAATAGTTGTTTCTTCGAGAAGTGATTGGTGAAATTTTATTTTTTAATATCTTTTCCAAAAGCAGGTTCTCTATCAAATAAAGACTCGAAATTAACAGCTGATGACAGGAATGCATTGAAATAGTGAGTTCCGTGGGATCAGTTTCTACAGAATAAGTGTATTGTTTTCCGCAGTTCAGATCTTTATGAATGAACGTTACCTTATAACTTGAGGAAGTGCTGTCAAATTTAAAAAATCCCTGAAATGGCTGTGGCCCGTCTAACGATATATATGTAAAAACGGAATCGATATGACTGGCACCATTATGAATAGAAAATGTTCTCGAAAAACTTTTCCGTACAAAGTAGTAGCATCATAATACGCTAATGGTAAGCGCCTTCAAAGGGAACTCTTCTCCTCCGGTTATAATTATGTCGAGCGACGCTTGCTAATTGGTCGCCCTGGGTACCTTAGCAGGCACGAGTACCCATATGTAGAAATTTCATTGATTTGAAAATGAAATCATGTGGAACACGTTGAACTAATTCAAACGGTATGATTTCCCCTAAATGATTCTTCCAATCCACGTTCAGAGCAGGAGTACAACGAGAGCGAATAATTCTCACCAGGAAAAAGAATAGGAGCTGAGATGAAGAGAACCGATCCTCGTCAGAATGGCAACGTGATTTTTATTACTAGTTGTATAGTATTTTTCCTAGAAAGAATCCAACTTGTAGGGTTTCAGTCAGTCTTCCATGAATTTGCGACCAAGTTTCCCATATTATTTCTATGATAGCAGCGATTTATAATGAAGTTTTATCGCACCACAGCAAGCAAAGGAGGGACTGTGAAGCGGTGCGCTTCCGATTACATGGTACTACAGCAGTTACTAATTACAAATTTCGCTTGCTTTTGCGCTCACTCAATGTGCTGTGATTACGTGTCAACTCAAAAAATGGAATAAATATGATGGTCACATAGGAGGAGGCCAGAAATCGATGTTGAGGGCCATATTGCGGAAGGGTCGTTTGCTTGTAGCGGAGCATACAACGAGGCGTCCATGTAGCACTGAACCGAGTCCACAACCCTCGGACCATTTCGCCGCCACTTTGCTAAGAATTTTAGGATAAAAATGTCTACGTCCAAAGTTGGAAAGAGTCATGAAATCAGGTTCGTCGATCCTTCCCTTGAATATGGGCTGAAATGCAGCATGCAGCCCAGAAAGTGGGCGATGAACTAAAAAGCCCGGAGAAAAAAGATGCGAGGGATTTTTCCGTCTCCAGAGCAAGATACGGCTGCAAGAAAGCGTCAATTCAAAAAAGGGTGTGGGTTTAACCTTCATTTCGCACTGAATTCAGCTGAAAATTCATCAAAGCTGGTATCAAAATGACCACGGGAACACGATCTCTCCGAATATGCTGGTATCCTCAACTTTGAAACCCTCAGATTGAACTCTTCGCTAATCGACATGGAGGGTTTATCGGAGCATGTCATACCCTCAGGTAGCACCTGAGGTAACTGGAGACTCAACAGAGGAATTCGTCAGAAATAAGGCCAATAAACTGAACAGAATTGAACGGTTCATAGACCATTAGACTCGCCGTGATAAAAGCTATCCATTGGTGTAATTTCCGAGGAATTCGACTAATTTGTGCGCAATGTTAATGGCAAGACGATCGTTTGCGACTTGAAAAATCTGTCGGCAAACCGCGATTGACCACAAAATTATGAGGCGTATTGTAGCTTCCGAATGATATCGTAGCCTGTTGCCCCACCGCCTTTGCTTTCATGCCATTCCTCTACATGTCTCCATATTCTTGATTGGGATGACCCAATATATGTCCACCAGTGAAGTAGACTTACTGCCACACTCGCATGAGCACACGATGCACAATGTTTTGTCTTCTTCCTGCGAGAACTAATTATAGCGTGCACAAAGCTACAATGATGCTCACATTTTTCAAGTTCTCTATAGCGTTCCGAGATTTTTCGGGTACCATGATGGACTTTATTTCTCTCATGACTGGAAAGACGACTGAGACCTTGATCATCAAAAAAGCTGCCGCGCACAAGAAAAATCGAGATGCACCTTTTATGAGCATTTCGAAGGCTCCGGCATACGCAATACTACCGATTCCCGATTGAGTTCGCAACACTACAAATCTGAAACTGAACTGAAATCCACGTTTCGAGAAGCGGAAGACTATGTTTAGCATCTATCCGCCTGCACAACCAAAACTGAATGGCAGGTGTATCATCAAAAGTTCAGCTTAGAGACTCGAATGGTTGACTCAGAACTCGCTGTCCGCTACCTTTACTAAATCACGAATGGTCGGGAGAAGGCCCGTGTCATTGATGAATAAATATTCAGATCGCTCGGAGAACGATGGGAGACTTGGCAGCAGTAATTTCGAGGAGCTCGAGCTCGCTCCAGCCCATTGGACGAACATGATCTTGCTCTTGGCCAATCAATGTTCATTGAAAGCGGCATAAATCAAGATGTGCTCTGGCCTTCTTTCTTCAAGCTGATTCTACGCGCAGCTTTTTCACCCTCCTACCAATTTTCTAAGGACACTCAGTGTTCTCTCGACAGTTCATTTCATATTATTTGTCCCAGAGTGGTATACAACTAGACGGGGAAATAGACGAAAGTGATGTACCGACCCGCGTGCGGTGAAAAATGCATTTGTCCTGAAGAACATATATTGAACAGTATCTCATCGAGATATTGACTATAATATTGGTGCTAAAAACACTACTGAATCAGTGTATGTGATTGTGATTTCGATTTGACCACGAGAACTAGAAATATATTGTTTCAAAATCTCGAAATCCTTTCGAGACATAATATCAGCAATCAATTAATCAATTAGCAGTATAATGGATTGGGACGGAAAGCTAATAAGCTAATGTTTCAGAAGAGTTTAACGTCGATAATCGTGGTCACTTTATGAATCATGCATTTCATAAGTGTATGCAGTTACTGGTGAAGAGATCAGGATGGGAATATGTTTTATTGCTACAGGTAACCTCAAACATTGAAACTGAATCACAGGTTCATAAATGTCTTTCGACAGCAACTCTAAACTCTTATTTTCGCATATGAGCTCAAGCATTCAACCCATAGCAAACCCCACGCCGTGTCCGACAGGAGCCGTACACTCCTTAGGTGGCCAGCATGCGAAGCGCCCGTCAGCAGTGGGAAGCTCATAAGAACGTCAGCGATAAGGATGAGAACAACCAGATACAAGAAAAACGGGTAATTTTTAGCCAC